GCGACCTGAGAGTTGTTGGCATGATACTTGCATATCTGGCCCACGATATATCTTTCATCAATTCAGGGTCCAGAGGAGAATCGCGGGCCCATCTTTCCGATAGTGTGCTGTTGATCGGTTGTTCAGGATTCTGGGCTCTGTATGCCTTTTTGAGTGTGTAGTCCCATATGCTCATCGGTTTGTGTCATGGCCACTGCCACTCTATTGGGTCGAAGGGCAGGTCCGCAATTGGTGTTGAAGATTCATATGCGTATTGCCCTTCTTCCCCTACCACCCTGATTTGCATGAGGCCAACAGGTGTCTCCTCGTCATCCAGTCCTTCATTACGTGTCAGTTTTGACATTCTTGCCCCCGGTAAGGCTGGCTCATATGCCTCCAATGTGCATGTTCCTTGGTCAATTCTTTTCACCCTGTAGACCACCAGGGGTAAGGGTAGGTCTGAGTACTTAACGGTCCAATCCCCTTGCGGGATTGTGGGCCCTTTCTTGAGAGTACATTGCCATGCCAACGGTATGGCCTCTCTAAGTGTGTTCAACTTGCCCTCTACATTTTTGGCATACTTCATTAGCTGTTGCAATTGGGCTGCAGTCCTCCAATTCCCTGTTTGTGTGTATCACATATCTCCTATTGTGAAGAGGCATTTTCTGACCCATGTGAGCCAATGGGAGTTCGTCTGCAGTGAGAAGGGATTGCCCGCTTCATCCACTATGTGAGGGTTGCCAAAAAGGGGTTGTCGCCATATGTCGTGCCATCTATTGGGGGGCCGGATTTGTTTTGGTCCACAGTGTCTCCACAGTTTAAGCATATTAGGCCATAGCGGGTTCTGTGCCATGTCTGCTTTTGCTGCGTGAGCCGGGTTGTCCCCCGGTTTTTGCTGCGTCGGGGAGTTTCGTGTGTTAGCGCTGCACAACCCGTCGACGGCACGGCCCGTCCACTAGGCTGCGTGCTAAGTACTTGTGCGAGATGGCGATTTGGTCCGCCATCGCCAGAAGGTATGTGCAGTGACATCCCCCCGGTCCGTTAAGGGCAAGGAAGCGGGAAAGTCCGCGTGGAGACACGAGCCTGCAACTGCGCCGACGCAACAGGAGAGGGATTCGGAAGCGAACGTCCAAGCTGGAGCCTGCTACGTGGGGTTCAAGACGACAGGTGGAGAGAAGGCTGGTCACCCCCGGAGTTGCTGTGATTATGAAAAGGAAGGAATGCATGCATGAGAAACCTCGGACGTGGAAAAAGGGGGGGAACGGAGGGGGGATAATGACGATAGATGCGATCAGAATGAGAGAGATTCGGGATAGGGAAGTGACGGGTGTAGGTGCAATCCGGAAGACACGTGCTGAGATCGAGGGTGGGCGATCCAAATCTCAAAGCGATTGGAGGAGAAAAGGGGAGAACGGAGGGGGGATAGCGACGACAGACACGATCACAACGACAGCAGTTCGTGATGGGAAAGTGACGGGCGACATGCGCTGAGATCGAGGGTGGGCGATCCAAATCTCAAAGCGATTGGAGGACGGGGAGAAGGAGGAAGAAGGAGATAGACACGGTGACGGAGGGAGAGAAGGCTGGTTACCCCCGGAGTTGCCACGACTATGCAGGGGTAGGAATACAAGCGCGTGGAACAATGGGCGAGGAGAGACAAACGGGGTAATGGCGGGAAGACAACGAGGTTAGAAGCGATCGGGACGACGGATGTTGGTAAAGGGGAGGTGACGGGGGACAACTGATATAGGTACTATCCGGACGAGACGAGCTGGGATCGGGGCGAGGAGGAGACGAGCTGGGATCGGGGAGAGCGATGAAGGGAGTCGTGCATGAGAGATCCGAGTCTTGAGGCGATTCGAGGACGGGGAGAAGGCAGGAGACACAGATAGACAACACCGTACAGAGGAAATACAGTGGGGGACAAAGCGATTCGAACGGGAACGGAGACAACTAAGAGCAAGGGAGGGGGAGAACAGGAACTATGAACAAAGTGGGAACGGAGACAACTAAAAGCAGGGGATGGGGAGATCATCGTCTCGCCAACAAGGGCAAGCCCGACTCACGACACCGATCTCGTCGACAAGGGTAAAACTCGTTCCGCGTCACTCACCTCGCCTTCGCCTATCTTTTCCCCCTTTAAATCACCCCCATACCGATCGCTTTCAGCCTTCTTGCCCGCAAACCCGGAACCTGCACCACACATGTGTTGCTACGTACCTGACTGGATGAGAGGGTGATGTGCACCCGGGAAAATCTAAACAAATATAACGAATAGCGCAAGGCTGCTCAACCCCACGTCCATAGGAGACGACGACGAGGGGGGAGACATATCCATGCGTTGTGATGTGGGGATCATCAGACGGTGACTGCGTGCAACCACATGAACACATCACAAACTGCACCTAACACACATAACAACTGCACACACTACGCAATCACACAACAACCACACACCAATTAACTACACACATCACACACTCCATGCTACACACACACGTCACACACCACACCACGTATTCCGAAAAATCAACAAAAACAACCGCACGTGGCGGGCCTCCTCACACGGTCACATCCGATCACAATACAAACACATACGTCACAGTTGATCACAATATAAACACATACGTCGGCATAAGGGGAGGGGCAAACTGAACACGGACCAGGGTGATCAACCTGCCACACCACCCTGCCGACCACAATATAAACACATACATCGGCATATGGGGAGTGGCTAAAACAAACACGGACCACGGTGTTCAATCTGCCACCCCACCCCATGCAGCCCGCGACCGAACGTAGGAAATGGGATAAAAAAAGCCAACGGATCTAGGCCCAGGGAAGGAGGTGCATCAGGCCAGGGAGAAGAAATCCTGGAGCGGCATGCTCACACAATCGGGGGAAACATCTAAAGACGCCCCCTCCTCTTCGACCGGAGCCAGAATGGCACCACCGCAACTACTTGAAGCACTGTCTGCCCCGAGGGTTATTGATTCGGGGGGATCATCATCACTAGCCCCTATGGCCCCTCTCAAAAGTCACGTCATACAACAACTGTATGTCGAATTGGAGAAGAAATTCCAGGTGAGGAAAGGCTACATTTATCCTCACGTCATCTTCTCGGCTCAGGCTCAGATCACACACAACACGATCTACTCCAACAAGGCAGTGCAATTTCGTTTCCCTGTGACCCTGGCGACAATCTCAATTAACGACAAAGTCAGATGGATCACGGACTGTCTGGCGAAGATCAAGACAGACCGCCGTCCAGTTCAGGAACACTTCTTGGTCGAGGTGGATGACCCGGAATGTATCACCATCGTTGCATTGTACACCACAGATAGAAACATTCTTCTAAAAAATAAGGTGATGCAATGCAGAGGCAAGCCGGTGAATGTCTGAGCCTGGTCCCTGGAAAACCCCCTGTCAAGCGATGAAACAAGAGAATTTCTCATGAATTCTAACTTTTGGGTTGAATTTCGGTTTGAGCCTCTATGCATCCAAGGAGCCATCTTGTCTGAGCTAGAGAACATTGCCCATGTGAAAGGCTACATCACGGATCTTCCCCAATTTTTGGGGAAACGGGACGACCCGCTGCTGGTGGCAGTGGACTGGGACGCTGAATATCCCTTTCCCCTGAATGGGGAATGGAGATATTCATGTGGAGAAAAGGAATGCGCTGTCTCGGTTAGCCACACCCACGACCCGTGGTGTTACCCGTGCAAAGACAGGGGCCACCTCTGCACAGACAACTCTTGCTCGAACACCCACAAACGCAGAATCCAGGGACTTGTAGTCCCCCACCTGACAGACGAGGAGAGATGGTTCTCGTAGGAAAGAGAACTGGTAGGCGGGGAGATTAGAGCGTTTGCAGATGGGCAACCAGGGAAATGGTTCTGGAAAGGCAAAGGCTACCCGGAGGTCTTCCCATCAGGATCCCAGTGTGTAATCGCGACTGACCGCAAACACAAAGAAAAGTAGGAGGTGGGCCCTCAACCGACTACAAAAGGGGGAGATAAGAGATGGGAGACCACAAAAGGGGGGTCAGCGGGAGCAGGGTATAAGACTGATGGAGGGCAGAAAGGACACATATCGAAAATGGGCAGCAAAGGCCCGTCCCCACGGCCCTCAGTAGCTGCCCCTCCCCTACCACCACGCCACCCCCCCCAGAAGTATAAACCCAAGGTCCGGAAGGAGGAAAAACAGGCCCCAGCCCCCCAGCCCAAACAGCATGGCACCACCAGCAAAGATGACGGGGAACGACAGCCGGACACTGCCACGTCTGACGGATCAAGACAGCACCACGATGGAGTCGACAACAACAAAAACGACCCCCCAACCCCGGGGATCCAAGAGTTGACAGAGCAAAAGAGACTCCCGAAGTCTGGTGCGGCCAGCCTACTGGTACAAGCAACTGAGCTCCGGCCTCAGAGCCTATCAGACAAACCACAACGGGAACTGGGAACACCGCATCAACCGGCTAGCCCAACACCGCTGCCTTCACCTACCACAACTGGTGACCCCTGTCCCCCACCAGTGGAGGGGATAAGAGGGCTGAATGGCCGACAGTAGAACTCCGTCAGGGAAGGAGACCCTCCTCCACCACAGATTGTGGTGGTGCCAGACCAAGACGGGCGATCACACAAAGGAAAACACCCGTCGCCACGGGTAACCATCCTGCTTTCGCAGCTGCCTGCCCCTATGCCAGAAAAACAACAACCGCTGTCGGAAGAGGCCACGAAAAAGCAAGTGGGCACCATCGTTGGCACATCACTGAGGCCCCCCTGACCAGGACCATCGACTGCGAATGCATCCCAGCCGCAGGCAGGAGCTGAACTGGCGATCCAAGCAGCAACCTCGACGCACAACAACAAAAGTGTTGATCAGAACAGAACGCTGTCCCCCCAAGGGATGTGGGTGAAAGCTAACTCATTGCTCGACAAGATTAAAGGGGCAGCTTTTCCCCTTATCAATGAACCACCTCCCATCCCCCCACGTCCGGGCGAAGGGGGTGAGAAGGTAGGGGAACAGCAACTTTGTTGCGGATCGCCCCAACAGACGAGCTCTGACGAAAGGGGGAGTTCCAAGGAACAAACGGGACTGGCCCCGCAGCAAACCGAGGAAGGTGAAAGGAAGGGACACGAAGGGGGTGCCCTGGTGGGACATCCACTGGCCCAGCCCCAAATACAAAAAGAGCTCAGCCTAAAGCAAGCCTTGCATGAAGAACAACGCAGGTCGCTGCTGCGTCAACAAGAAGAGCATGCACAGCAACGCACTCAACAAGACCTGCAACAACTGCAGTTACAGCAGGAGCAAAAAAGGCTCCAGCTCCTCCGACACCATCAGGAGCAAGCAGAGATGCAATTGCATCAGGAGTCGCAACAACAGCAAGCTCAACAAGAACAACATCGCAAACAACTGCTCTCCTAACAGGAAGAGATGAAGCAGACACAGGTGCAACAGGAACATGACAATCAACAAAAAATGATGCACCAACACCAACAACAGCAACAACAGAACCTCCTACTACAGCTGCAGACGCAGACGCAAGAAGCGCAGTGCAGCCAATACTTGCAGCAACAACAACAACAACATGAACACCACAACCAAATGCAAGTGCAGATGCTGCAGCAAGTACACTGCCAGGCTCAACAACAGCAACACCAACACGAAATGCATCAGGCGAGTATCCAAGAGCAACTTCAACTTCTGCTACAAGCGCAGTTAGAGCAACATCATCGACAACAACAGCAAAAACAACTGCTGCTACAGCGCCACCTCCAGTTGCAATGGCAGCAGCAACTCTGCAACCAGCATGAGCAAGTTCTCCATCAACAACAGCAAGAACTGCAAGCTTACTGGCAGCAACAACTGGAGAATCAGAGGCAACTACAATACCAACAAAGCCAACCCTGCATGTTGGGCTTACCAACAGGGCGACAACAACACTGCCTGCTGCTGCAAGACACCCACCCAACACAAGTAGGACAGGAGCCCCAAGACATGGACACATCGACGCCTGACAACGACGTGTCGGCTTTCACTGGCGAACAGGAGCTACGACCGCACGAGCCCCTATCGGCTGACAACGAAATGGAAGCAGTCCCTTTCCTTGCTGCCGAGTCGCTCTACACTAATGCAGAGGTTAAACAAAAATTATGTTTCCTCACGGACTGAACTTTGATGAAAATCTTCTCATTAACGAATGATAGACCAACAGAAAAATTGAACACTGGTCACTGGGAAGAAGCTAAAACGGTCCTGATGCACAGCCCCTGGATTCTGGCCAGGGTCCAAAAATACAATGATGCCTCAACAGTTGACTGGATGGACGTGGGGGCAGCCATTGTCTATGTGGTGAACGAGTTCTTAGACAAAATTGAACAATTTGCAAAAGAACGGTCGGAGCCTGCAGAGCATGCTGAACAACTGCACAACCAGCAACAACAGGTAGAAGTGTTCCTGCACGAGGGTCTTGCCTGGCCCAAGACCCTCGTGAACGAACTCTCTCACACGCTCTACGGGACTCTACCGACCACAGACCCGCTGCCCGGGCCAAAGCGGGCAACACAACAGCAACAGCTATCTACGACCGGGGAATCACACCCCATCCAGTCCAGGGAACAACTGGCGATCATCCACATGCAAAAATAAGGTCCCCCTTGGGAACAGGCCCCACCACACCTTGCCGCACTTCATCTCAGGCACTCTGACGTGTTGCCAGGCGACAACGATTTAGCAGAGCTGCAAGAGGATGACAGCGGCGACGACACTCTGGTGCTCGAACCGCCCAAAACGATGCAAGCCCTGGTCAGACTCCAAGAGGATGATAGCATCCCACTGGCTATGCCACCAAGAGTGGCCCTCTTCCCGCCGAGAAGAGCAAAAAAAGGAGGGGAGTGGTTGCTTGGTCTCAGACCACCGTCAAACCACTCAGAGGACCCTACAGTTCAGGGGGAATTGACTGTGGAGGGATGGAAGGGGAATCCGTCCACAGCAGCCATCCTCAAGAGACTCAATCTGTGGATCAAGGAAACAATTACAGAGGGGGTGCAGGGTGCAGTCCTCCCCAACACTCTATCCTTCCCCAAAGGTATTATACCGGTGATATTACTGATACACCACCATGACAGCCCACGCAGAGCCCAACCAGATTTCACATGGTTCACACACCACGAACTTATGAACCTCTCTACCGACAGATTTAGAACCAACTACGCGTGGACTCAGCGTAGAGTGTTGACCTTCATCCAGATCTTCCTCAACAACAATGCACTGGAGGACTATCACCAGTGGGAGGACCCGCCCTTTGTACACCCAGTCAAGCACTAGAAAGGAATGCCTGCTGGAGGTGCCAAAACTGAACTCCAATCAATGAAAGACAACAATACACAATAGGAGTCACTTGGCCCCTACCTGGATGGAAACAGCCCTAACCTGTGACCATCACAGAACAGACCACAGTTCCAACCTCCACCCTCTGTCCCACAGCAAGGACCTCTCTTGCTGCCCCCCCCTGCCCGCCCCGCCACCCCCACCACAACGACCGCAGTCCCCACCACAATGACCACCGTCCCCCCCAGTCTTCCCCCGGGTCAGGAAGCAGCCCCAATGGGCCGCACGGCTGGCGCAAGCAGATCTGGACATCCGATCGCTGAATGTAAATGGCCTCATTCAGGCATCCACAACAAAAAAAGAAGCCATTATGAACATGGTTAAATGCCCAATAACAAGCCAATGGTCGGACGCTGTATGTGTGCAAAAGACACATCTGCAAGACACACCCCCACATGCAGCTAAGGCACAAGCAGTTTGGCCCTATAGGGCGTTTAATGCACCGGCTACACAGAGGGCATCGGCAGGGGTGTCGATATGGCTCCCGCCCTCATCTACAATAAACTCGATCTCAATGAAGTACGACAAGGAAGATGGCAGGTGGGTGTCAATTAAGGCCACAATACAGAATGAAGAATTCTACCTGGTGTGTGTGTACGCCTCAAACGACCCCGCCAATAGGGTAGACCTCTGGCTTACCCTCCACCAAACCCTGCCTGACGACGCCCCAATGATAATAGCAGGCGACTTCAACACCGCTCTTGACCCGGAAATGGACCACTGATCACTGTCACGACAATCTCACCCAGGAATGCAGCCGCCTCCTCACACCCATCTTGATGCCGTCATGCTCCAACAGTTTATGGCAGACAGACAGTTGGAAGACGCATTTAGACTGTTGCACCCAGCCCAAAAGGCATACACATGCTTGTCAGATAGAGGCCAGAATGGTGTGGCCAATTCAAGGATAGACCTAATGCTAATCTCAAAAGGCCTGACGGGCCTGCTCACAACCGCAGATATTACACCCATAAGTCCCTGCAAGTCTTTTGACCACAGAATGATCACGCTAGGACTGTCCTTCCATGGCCACATAAAGAGGGGACCAGGTTTCTACAAACTTAACACCTCCCTGCTGCCCCTCCCCACCTTCAAGGACATGGTCAACACATTCTGGCATTACTGGCAAACACAGAAACCTCAATTAGGGGACATAGTAGCATGGTTCAATGATGGTATTGCACAACTAAGAGACCGAGCTAAAAAATAATATATCCAACACGCGAGAAACCATAAGGCCATCCTAGAGAGACTCATGGCCTGCCTGGAAGAGTGGGATGAGCAGTTAATGGAAAACCCTACACATCAACCTACTTTCCAGGAACTCCAAACAGCGAGAGACCACCTCCAAGAATATATTGACCAGCAATCGCAAGCTTGGAGGATCCACGCCAGGATCAAACGGGACCATACAGAAGGGACAATGGCAAGAACCTTCTTCAACAAAGTCAAAGCAAGAGCAAGGGTAAACACAGTCCCTAGACTCAAACACCCATTCGATGCCAATACCCCGGTGGCCTCTAATGCATATACCGTAGTGGACTATGCATCTAAATATTATCAAAAATTGTTCACATCAGAGACACCCAACAAACCCCAGAATGAGGTCCTTCAAACGAGGGAAGAGCTGCTGCAAGCGATTCAGACTCGCCTCACCCTCCCCAAAGAGTCGGACTGGATAAACCTATAACCCGAGAGGAAATCTGGGCGGCCCTGCGGGAGATGGAAGACGAAAAAACGCCGGGAGTGGACGCCTTCCCCGAATAATTTTGGGTGAAATTATGGGACCTGCTATTGGACGATCTGATGGAATACATTACGGCAGTGCAGAGAGAAGGTTTTTTCGGAGGTATGATGGGACAAGGGGTTACTACCCTCCTTTACAAGAAAGGGGACAAAGAGGAAATCAGAAACTTCAGACCAATTACCCTTCTCCCAGTCCCCTACAAACTGGTGGCTAAGACACTCACCAGAAGATTAGTGCCGGTGATGAACCTTCTCATACACCCAGATCAGTCAGGCTTCATGCCCAATCGAAACATCCAAGACAATATCCTACTGGTGAATGAGACCATCAAGTATGCCCGTCAACGTAAGGTCCAGGCCGCAATACTCTTCATAGACTTTGAGAAAGCCTATGACCATGTCGACTGGGACTTCTTGGACATGTGCCTGACAAAGATGAACTTTGGCCCAGTGTTCTCAAATTGGGTGCAGCTCTTACACATGTCGGCTTCAACTAACATATCACTGAATGGTCACTTAGCAGCCTCGATCCTCCTTCAAAGGTCGGTCAGACAAGGGGATCCCATTGCGCCCCTGCTCTTTGTCATCGTAATGGAATCCCTGGTCGCCCTCATTCGATCCCACCCATAGATCCACAAAATCCCCATCCCCGAGCTGCAAGAGCACCTCATACCGATCACATCACTTTTTGCAGACGATCTCACGGTGCTAATCAAAGCAGACGACCAATGTCTTCGCGCTTTGACGCAAGTCATACATCGGTTTTCACTCGCAACAGACATGAAGTTAACTGGGGATCCAAAACAGAGGGGTGGTGGCTGCACCCGCAGGACATCGGTCCGCCGCCAGAGCCACAAGTCTCATGGGCTGCAAGAGAAACAGCCTTGCGCATCCTGGGAGTGCGACTAACAGCGCTCGGTCCCCCTCTAGACCATGGGGAATCACTCGTGGACCTGGCAATCGACCGCCTGGGCCGTTGGGAAGGGCTGCATACCTCCCTCGTTGGGAGAGCACTAGCAATCAACAACGCGGTGCTGGCAGCAATCTGGTACAAATTAGCAGTGTGGCCACTCAAACCGAGACGATACTCCAGACTCAGGAAGGCCCTAACGACCTACCTCTGGAAAAATGATATTAACGCTCGAGGCTGTATCAACCGGGTCAAATGGGATGTACTGACGCAGCCAAGGGGCAAATGAGACCCTCATGTTCAAGATGCTAGTCAGACTCCTCACAGGCAACGATATCCCGTGGGAGCCGCTGGCCTGCATACAGATCAGCAATCTAGCCCCGAGGACAACGCTCCCCAACCGGATCCATCCCTTTAGATGGCTCACCAATGCTCATTGGGGGGGGTGTTTTTCTTGAGTGTCGTAGATAATTCAAAAAATAGAAGAAAAAAAAAATCATTGATTGATTGATGTTTTGATTGATTGATTGGTTGGTTGATTGATTGATTGATTGATTGGTGGGGGAGCGGTCCTCCCTCCCCTCCCCGGCACACACACACACACACACACACACACACACACACACACACACATAAAAATAATAATATATATATATATATTTCAATAATAATTATAAATAATAATAAATAACCAACCACTTAAATATTGGCTCTATATACACACACATAATCGACCAGATACGCACCAGCAACTTCCCGTCCCTCACAGCTGACCGATATACCCCCCCCAAAAAATAAAGAACACAATAACCCCCACAATGATAACAAAATAGTTCACCAAAAAAAAAAAAACATAAGTACCAAACAAAAACTCAAAAGTCACAACACGACACAGGCCCACCACACCACCCGCCAAAACAGAGTCACCATGGCTAAATGAAAAAACACTACCGACACTCCTACACAAGAGCCAAAAAGGCACGCGCACACATC